GAGAGAGCCTGGAATCGAGGTTGTCCGCGATAGACAAAGCAAGATTACAGACCTTACCTTAAAACTGCAGAAAAAGCGATTGCGTGCCTCGGCTCACCTTTGTGATTTCGAAAGCAATGATTTCTGTTATTTTATTTTTTTTAAATAGTTCATCAAAAGAGTATTTTGGCAAAATAAAACCAATCCGAATTCTAATTGGCTCCCGTCGAGACCGTCTCTTTTCTATCGAGATCAGCACGCCATCACAAAAACATACAAAGGAGATCGACTAATATAGTAACATTCCAACAAATAACTGGAGAAATACTGTTGGATGCATGCGCATTCACTAACCGTGTATGTTGCCTTGTGCTAATTCAATTTCAACTTTGTTTTATTCACACTTTTCAATTTTTTTTTTGTTGGCCCCTGCATTTGGAGAGAAAACTTTTTGTGCTAAAACAAAATTATCTACAAGTAGTGCATACATAAAACTGGGCGAGTTTCAAAACTGATTAAAGTGTTTTGAATCACCGCCTGGGATATTTTGCAGCTGGTTGAATGAAGACAAAGAAGGGCGGAAACCCCAACCGGCAAATTTGTCAGCAGAATTCATCAAGAATCATAATAGGCACGAAATCAAGCAGGGAAATGTTTTATTTAGCCTCCTAAAAACTCCAGTGTTACTTTATGTAGATTAGCAAGACTTCATTGACCTTAGCTATGATGACACGAAACTTCACAAAAAATCCCGACTTACTCTCAAAACGAGGTGGTTTTATTTTACATGTAACCCAAATTTGGAATTACGAAACATTTCCAAGTTCGAGCGATGCAAAATTGAAAACCTTTACCTACAATAGCCCTTTCACGGTTAACTTGCGATATTTTGCATAACAATACAGCTAAACATAGAAGCGAGGCAATTTCGGGCACAAGCTGTAAAACATCGTGATTTTCTTGAGCTCCTTAAACTATGTTAGCATAAAAAATTGTTTTAAAACGGAGAATAAATAAATATACAACTCTTTTAGTTAAAGTTTGCCGTAAAGATCGTAGCCCGATCTCCCGGGGTGTTGCTTATGTGAGTCTACTCTTTATTAATAGAGAAAAGTCGTTTTTACAATTTTCTAAAAACAACGTAAACTAAAAGAATTGTAGTTCTTCTACATTTTTAAACTGTTTTTATACTAAAAGAGTTGAAGGAGTTCAAGAAAAACACGATGTTTTGCAGCTTGTGCCCGAAATTGCCTCGCTTCTATGTTCAAGTGTATTGTTTTGCAATATCGCAAGTTATAATCCATCAAAATTTTCTCGCGCACGATTGGTCTAAACACGTCACGTGACGCAGCCAAAACTGGGGAATATCCGGGTGATATTCCCCAAGTGATATTCCCCAGTTTTGAAAATTTGCCTTTCACGTTCGCAGGTTCAGTTTTCGTCTCAAATAAATTGCTAAATTAAATAAAACTGATTGTTTTGAACAGACTAGAAATATTTTTGAACGCCAACATAATTATTTTGATGTTTAACAGCTTGGCCGACCGAGATCTTCCACGGCAAACAGAGCGGCCTTGTGAAAAAATATTTGAAGGATAATAACTACAATAGCCTCCATTTGGCTTCAAAAATATGCTCGGATATTTGTCCTTGGACATTATCTGTTCCTCGGAGCTCACAGTTTCCTCGAGCTTCGCTCTCGGAAAAACTGTTCGCCTCTCGGAACAGATAATGTCCGCGGACAAATATCCTAGCATATTTCCTCACCAAATGGAGGCTATTGTTTATTTAACCGTGAAAAGGGATATTGTAGCTAGCAGGTGTTTTTCTCCGCCCTGTACAACAATTAGCAAAAAACCCTCTGCAATTATTGTTGCCACCGGAGTCAATGGACTTTTTTTACTGAAAGAAATTAGGTCTGGGCCGATAATTTCAAAACGCAGTCCAAGTTACATTTGGGGAGACGGCATATGGTTAGCGCGTTTGGACTCCGGGTCGAGCGGTCTGGGTTCGAGCGCTGGCCGGCGTCCCTGTTTGTAGCTGTGTTCTTAATGGGTACTGGCGAACTGTTAGGCAACCTGACATGCTGGTGAGGGAGTAGCAATACTCCTAGTCGGCTTCATGCTACGGAATCCGGGATAAGCTCCGGCAGTGTGGGCGCCAGTTTGGCCCGAGTGCGGCTTCAGTTTCACCTTAGTTAAGCCCTAGCCAAACGGAGACGCAAGTATGGCTTAATGGCTGAATTGATCTCTGTAAGCTATCACTGGGCGTGTGTGCGTGTTGCTTACACAAACAAGGGACCAACAAGAAACATTTCTCAGTAAATTGCTGTATTTAATAAGGTTACCACAGACATCAGACACGTTTCAGTGCAATTAGTTGAATAAAATCTTCCAGATTTCCGTCTAATAACGAAGATTGAAAATGATAAACGGAATTCAAGTTTAAAATCTATCTTAAGCAATAGATGGAATGCAGAAGACAGTCCTGTCTACAGTCCAAGCTCCCGTAAGCGGACACCCTCGGGAAACAGAAAGTGTCCGCAACTGGAGCTGGCCGCTTATGGGAATGTGTAAATACAGAGTTTGTATGAGCTTAGTGTTCATTCAAACGGGGTTTTGTCAAGGCGGCCGTAAGTAGAGCTGCCCGCTTACGAGAGTGTCCGCTTAGAGAGCTTCGTCTGTATTTGGTTAAGTTCTATGTTTACAACGTAACAAATAAAATCCTTTAAAAATAAAGTAGCATAAACTCTTGTACTTGTTTTATAACTTTTTTTCCAAATATCTTGAAACATAACTTTAACTCTACAATAAATCGCGATTTTCAAGTTGGTTTACGTATGCGAAATCCTTTCTCCCGTCTTAGGGTGGCTCGGTGTCGACTGACTCCTTTCCCAGCCCCTGACAGGGTAGTAAATGAATGCACATTTGTCAGGGGTAGTGCGAGGAGAGTTGTTGCTGCGACTAGTGGATGCTTCTTATTGAGCGCTTGACATGGATGAGAAGGCGAGTTGACGGTGAAGATGGTTTTAGCAGCTGAAAACGAAAAGCAAGTCAGAGATCAACATCTAAAATCTTCTTGGATAATCTATACATTGTCAAGTAAGGATAATTTGAAATAAAATCATCAACTAATGCATAGAGCAGTTTTCAATTGAGTGTAGAAAGTAATCCGGATTTACGCTCTGTGATTGACTCGCGCCACCTGCTCAACCAACCAGATGCAAAATCCAGTAACCAATCGCGACTTGGTCGCACGCGTTTTCCCGCGCTTTGCGCCGGTCACGTGCATTTGCTGCGAGTTCTCATTGGTTCGTTTTCTTGTTTACGTTTGTTGTGATTGGTCATTGTAATTGCTTTGCTTTTGGTTTTACGACACTCAATAGGCCATTTCCGAGTTGCCTTTTGCCTCTGTTTCAAAACGAGTCCTGGTGCACAACCTTTGTGATGGTAATTAGTTTTACTATTAAGGTTGTGCACCAGGACTCGTTTTTGAAACAGAGGCAAAAGGCACTGAAATGGCTCTACTATCTTGATGCATTACCAAATTCTGTCACGATATCTTAAGTCCTTTTTTTCCGAAGTACAAAATCACCTTCAAATCGAAGGAAACCATAAAATAACAGTTTACTAAGGTAGAAAAACACCAAAGAGGTAGAAATAAACCAAACAGGAACAAGGATGGTTAAGATTGGGGAAGATTGAGACGGATTGCAAACGACGAACTTGAAAACATTTAGGCAACATTTTTCAAGATGTAATTTCAAAATACGAGCAACACCGTACCAGCATCACGAATGACGTAATGATTACACGCTGCCAGAACTTCCAGGGCCTGGGACGGGTTGTCCCATTCCATCAGACCTGCCGCTGACCGAGAAGCTGCAATAAAAATATCACATCAATCAAGTCAGAATTTTCTGAATTTCCGAATTATTTCCCTTACCTTTTCACAATTTCCCAACCAAGAGTACAGTCCAACCTCCACTCTACAACGGCCACACACTTTACTCTTATTTAAACCTCCCTAGAACAGCCTACCTCTCTACAACGGCCAGATTTTTTCGTCCGACCGTGCATGCGCCGATCCCTACATATTACTCTTTTAAAACCTCCCTAGATCAGCCACTTCTCTACAACAGCCAGGGATTTTTTCGGTCCAGGCCGTGGGCCGATCCCTACACTTTACTCTTATTGAAACCTCTCTACAACGGCCACCTCTCTACAACGACCACGATTTTTCGTCCCGACCGTGCGCCGATCCATAACACTACACTCTTATTGAAACCTCTCTACAACAGCCACCTCTATGCAACGGCCAGTTAATTATTTTACTCACCATTAGGAAACACTTTAACAGCACAGGATGATCAACCCCACAATTTGAACACATCTAGAATATTAAAGATAGACGTTCTTTTAATATATAGCCAGCCAGCGAATGCTGATGGATATCCGCTTGGGAGCTGGTTTTTTATATACTACGTATTCTCATTCATTTAATCTCCATCTATGGATACTAATACGAACTCACAAATGACCAGCTCCCAGCGGGCTTGATAGATCAGTTGGTAAGAGCAGTGCACTGGCATCGCAAGGTCATGACATGGGGTTCGAATCCCGTTCAAGCCTGAATGTTTTTCAGGTTTTTCTTTATACAACTGCAAGCTGTAAATCTTTCACTGCGATGATCTACCTTCATACATGTAATGCTGTAAAAACTTTTATTAGCCTGTGTACATCGCCTCCTCTCCTCTATTTTAGGCGAGAAGGCCTTACTTTTCTAGGTCTGGTTCTACACTAACCCTAACTAACAACAAACAAGTATGAGAAATATATTATTCAGTCAGTGACACAAGCTACTCGGAAAAATAATTCCGAGTTCCCCCAACAGGAGTCGAACCTACGTATGACCATCCGCACACCGGTCGGGACGCTCTACCACTGAGCTACAGGAGATTCGTGGGAGCTTAGGCCGTATAACAAGTGATTTGTATCAAAGTCGTAATGCGAGGTAACTTTTCAGATCTGATAATCTTACCTCCTTTACTTTTTCTGTCGAGAAGTCTGGTGGTGCATTAAAAAAAATGCAAGACTTTTGTGGGAGAGAAAATGCCTAGTACAATGTCAAGATTAAATAACAACATCAAACAACTTCTGAAATCATTAACTTTTTTTTCATTTAAAATTTACAGTGGAATCCCTTTCTTATTGATGAAGTATATCTTTTTTTTCGCAAACTCAAACTGTAGTACTGCTACATGATTGATCTAAAGTCAAGGATACGATTCTTGCTGCTTTG